GGATCTTAGAAAGGATATTCTGTATTACTTCTGCTCTGAGAGAGGCATAGATGGGCTGATTCAACCCAACGTGTCATGTGGTTAATTTTCCAGGTGAAATGACATCAGTCCAAAGAAGTTTCAGGCTTCACTTCGACCTATTTGAAGAGATAAGCGCTTACTGTCCAGCATCCTGACCCTGAAGGTACCTTCCTTGGAATTCCATATATTTATCAGGGACACTGTTCCCTTCTCAAAAAGTTGCCCCTAATTTCTAAAACCGCTTACAAGTAATAGGTTCTAGATCACCTTGGAAGAATTGGTAAGGTGATTGTGTATGAGAAAGAGAACAATTTGATCCTATGAGAAGGAAAACGTACTAAAGTTTTCGTGTCTTGATTCAGGGTGTACGTGTGCATAATTGCGTGTGTGCTTGGGCTGGGAGAATACATGTAATGGAAATTAAATGATACTGGAAAATATATCCTAATTACTTAGGATCATGTTTTTGATAAACAAATAGTCATGGCTACAACTATCATGGATAAAATGACTCAAATTAAAAATAGTACAAGAATGTAAAGTAGAATAGCGCAGCACAGTAGTTAATCACAAAAGAGTTCAGCTTGAAGTCAGTTGCCTGAGTTTATAACCCAGTCTTCTAAATACTAGTTGTGTGACATTTGATAGGTTGGCCACTTAAAAACAAACAAAACACACAAGCAAACCCTGTATGTTCATTTCCCTCTCTAAAATGAACACAAAAATAACAAGTATGCATAAGGATGTTGTGAAGATTAAATGAGAATGTGCACATGATATTTTACAGAAGTATGTTATTATCAAAAGGAGAAGATATTTGTAGCATATGTGAACTCCTTGTATGGAATGATCTATTTCTGAGGTCCAATAAGTTGGGAAAGAGTTAATCACAACAGAGTTGTCACCAGGCTTAGAGATATAGCAAGTGATTTTACTACTGGAAGCCAGTATGATTCCAATAACTCAGGAACACAAAACCTACAAAGTATGGGGAAGAGGACGTCTAGCTAATAAATAGCAATAATCACAATATTGCTGACAGCTGAGCCCTCCCAGCATCTACGTGCCTGTAACAATTAGTAGGCTACGGCCCCCTGCTCAGCGGATCTGCACTAATGATACAAGAGGCACCAGCAAAACTAGGAGAAACCAGCAGATGCTCCTTGTAGGAAATTTAATTAAAGTGGAAAGGCCAAAAATAGTGTTTCCACTGTGCTCTTCACTGACACTGGGGAGTTGGAGCATTGTGTAAATTCTACAGACAGGGAGGCTGGCATGGAAACGGCCAGACACTGAGGGCACCTGGATGCATTTGCCAAGAGGACTTGCGGTTAATGCCGATCGATAACGACTTCCCCCGAGTCACAGAGCTCACTCAGACCAGCACGATTCTGGGTCACAAAAGGATGAGAAGTCATAGATCACTGGATCCTTTCCAAGAAGTTAAAGATTACACCATGTGTAATGAAACACCTTTATATGGCCTAAGGGCCACAGTTACTTGGTCGCTGATTATACAATAAACTCTTTTCTGAAGAAATAATGCACAGAGGTGAGAAGTCAAACCGCACCCTTTCATCTTCTGAGGCAGTAACAAGAGCGCCACCTCTTGAAAGGGGCAGGTAAAACATACTGCGCAGCCTCCGCCGGGGGGATTTTCCTGCAAATGTGGGAGACCCTAAATTTTGGAAGGTGGTAGGCGGTTCCATAGCAAGACAGTATAACAGGTGCCTGCCCTGGAATAGCAGCGCCTGTTTCAGACATGCTTTCAACAGACCAGCTCCATGGCCCTGGGCAAGTTATTTAATTTCCTAGACCCCTCAGTTTCTTTATTCATAAAATGGGAGTAAAAATAGGGCCTACCTCATACGGTTGTTGTGCCTAGGTGCTTAAAAATTGCCAGCGACTGTGCCTGTTCTTCTGAGTCACTCACCGAAATTCTTTGACGAAATGACAATTACCAATAGAGTCTGTATTTCATGTAGATAAAATGATTTAACGTTGTACCTTACACATGACAGGGACCTTGCCCACTATTGTGGACCTTACACAAGATGGGTAACTATTTGCTTCCTGATTGCTGGGTGAACAGGTGACATTTCTTGCTGCTTCTGTGCATGATACCATCCTCTTTTGTTAACCCCACTGCTGTTACCTTGCTGTGGGCAAGTGCTTTGGGGGCTCATGCGAAATGCATTCACCAGCTCTTGGCGCTGAGACTGCAGATGGGCGTGGGGTGTGGGGATGAGGTCCCTCCTTCCCGGAGCCTGAATTCTGGAGACACGAAGGGTGACAAAGAAGCCTGAGAAGTGTTAGGATGGGAAACTCAGAAAGCGAGGAGTTCCCGTGTGGGGAGCTTGGAGGAGGAGGAAGGAAAGGCTTCCCTAAGGAAGTAAAGTTCAAGCTCAACACCCAAGGATTCCGAGAGTCAGCTACACTTGAGAAAGCGCCCAGGTGGCTGGAGGTTGGTGGTTCCCAGACCTAGAAGGCAAAGAGGCCCGGAGCAAAGAGGAGCTGAGGCCTCCTCCCTGCAGCCAGGCCACCACGGAGCATGTGGCTTCATCCTGAGGGTGCAGGAGTTACCGCAGGGTCTTTAGTGGGAGAGTGGAGTGGTCCGAACTGACACAGGGAAGGATCGTGCTGGCTGCTGTGTGAGCTAAGAGGGACTGGGATGTCCCAGGGGGAGGCTGTGGCTGTGAAGCAGGCACTAGTATGACTTCCCTTAATGATTCTGGCCCAGACTCAGGGGGGTGGGGTTGAGGCAAAGAAGTGGATAGATGTGAGAGGTATTTAAATATTTGCCATAAAACTGAAGCTAGCCCTCCCCGCCTCTCCAACCAGAATAAGTGGAAACATTAGCCTACAGTTGGCCCTTCTGCTGTCAACACCCAGCAGAAGTTTAGTTTGGAAAAAAAGGGAACTGATATCTAAAGTGGAGCTTGGGGGTTTCCACTGACATCAGCACCCCCTGGGGCAGCCTCTGCCTCCTGGGGCCTGAAAGCTGCTCCCCCTAATCACACTCATCATTGCTTAACAGAGCAGGGCCCTAACGCAGCCAGGAATAGCTCAACCAGGCCCTCTGGCCAAACCATCAGCAAACAAAGATAACTTTTAAGAGTGTCAAGCCCAACGGCACCAAGGGCATTGTCTCAGCAGCCTAAACCAGCAGAAAGGACGGCCCAGGGTTGCTCCTTGGTTGACCTGCAGGGGCCAACTGTGACTCATCTGTTTACTGCAGAGCAAAGGTAACTTGGGATGCAACAGTTGACAGCTGCCTCCCAGGAGACTGTCAGTACCGGAAATGAGGGAACCAGCTTCAACCGGAAATGTTTCCACTGGCTCAGACCCAGGCTGAACGAAGCGAGAGGTCACGCCGCGGGCCATGCACAGATCTCAAAGAACTGGGGCCTCAAAGCTGACTGGCAGTTTCAAGTCACTCCTTGTTATCATTTCACTGAGAAGCTTGGAGGCTGGTGACCATCGCTTATATGTGCTCCGTTATGTACAATTTGGATAATTTAGGGAATAACCAGACTTCTTTTTTGGCAGAAGATTAAGAGCAGCAATAACATAATAGTAATACTACTCACATTGGTAACATTTACAAATGGTATATTCTATTCTGAAGGCAGTTTGTCATCCAGGTCACATACATGAAGTCTAATCCAGGGGTCACAACCTGGAGTGCACTTACGAATCACCTGGGGAGCTTTAAAATTCTGACGTCCGGGCCCACCCTCCAAAGACTGATGCAACTGAGCTGGGTGGGGCCCAGACATAGGCATTTTGAGGAACCACAGGGAATTCTAACGTGCAGCCAGGCTGGAGAACCACAGCTTTCACCATGGCAGCAACCTGCAGGATAGGAACTTTCAGCTTCCTTGTATAGATAAAGAGAGTAGGGCCCTGGGAGAACAAACAACTTGCATAAGATCAGGGACTTTAACCTTGGGTCTGTCTGGCCACCAGCCTCCTGCTTCCAATTTGCTTCACATACTGTTCAGTGCATTCTTGTGTAAAGAGTAAACAGGGACAGCACCTGGAGGGGGACTGGGGGGCCCAGGGCGGCAGCTTCCCCCAGGGACCCAGGAGGTTTGTGAGCGGAGGCACCACCCCACCCTGAGCAAGCTGTGTGGCGTGGGAGTCACCTGATGGTGAGAGTTGCCAGTGGGCAAATAACCAGCCTTCATGGCTGCAGTGGGGCCTGGCCTCTGTGCCACCCCAGGAGCTGGCATAGAAGAGACCCTTGGCAGGAGGCTGACCAGGGCGTGGCTTGTCTGGGGCAGGCAGCCCGGTGCACGCTTGGTTACCCTTTGTGTCGTCATGTTGCAGGGAGATGAACTTCCTGCCCCAGTTTCTGCCTTCTCACCCTGTGCTGTCAGCTCAGGGCTGGCTCCGGGTTCCCTAAGGTGACGTCTAATTCATACTTCTAAAACACTGGGGTTAGCTCAAGAAGGTCATGTTGACTGTTACAGACTATCGGATGGGAAGGAAGCACCCTCTTTCTCTGATTCTTGTTTCCCCAACCACGAGCACCTTGGCCATAACTGCCTGCAGTAAATATTAACATAATCAAGTAGGATTCTGAAGCTGGGCTTTCCTTCCTCCCTGCTGGGAACCCCCCAGGACAGGGCCCTCAGCTCCCAGCCTTCTAGAATGAAGCTTGGCCCCACATCAAAGCACTGAGCTCCTCTGCAGCCTCCCACTTTTCAGACAAAGGTGAACCTCTCCAGGCATTGCAGGATCATCGCTGCAAGTGGCTGTGAAAGGGTCAAACTCGGAGGGTGAGGGAAAGAGGGGAGAAGTTTCTGGAGTCTGGGCTGGGAGGTGTCCAGCCCCCTCTGTATCCCAGATCTAAACTCTACTCTTACACTCCCCACGATGGCGTGACCAGGCCGCCTTCATTCGCTTATTCATCAGCTGTTATGACGGGTTTATACCACTGTGGGTTCTTAGAGCCGTAAGACCCGTTCCTGACCCTAAGGAGCTCACAGCGTAACACGGGAGACGCATGGATGTGGTGGGAACACAGGAGGGGCCCTGGGCCCAGCCGGGAGGAGAGCGGGTCGGTTTCCTGGAGGGACAATCCCTGACTTGAGACTTTCCAAATGCCGAGCAGGGTCACCAGGTGGACAGTGGGAAAATGGTTTTCCAAGTGGAGGGGCAGTCTCACAAAGGAGCGGAGATTTCATCCTTTGCCTCAAGAAGAGTGTTCCTTGTTGAAAGGTCACCCTGGCTTAGCTCCAGAAACTTCCTTCTCCAGATTCTAGGGACTTGGACTTCCTTCCCTACATTCAGGCTAAAGGGCTGAGTCCAAGTGCAACTAAATTGCTAACCCAGATTTTTTTTTCCTTCAACAGAAACATGCAGTTCTGAAGTCCTGCCAGCCACACCAAAGAGCTTTTCCCAAGAAGGCATGGGTAGAGGCAGCTGTGCAGTGGGAGGAGTGTGGTGTTTTGGACGGTAAATGAGACTCAGATAAGGCCAACAATGCCCCAAGTACAGGCACTGCAGAACGCTGTCTTTCCCCCCTTGGTCAGCATTGTTTCATAACACTAAATGTCACAACAGAGCAGACAAATAGGTCCCTGGAGGGAGGCATGGCTGGATTTCAGTCCTGGCGCTGCCACTTAGGATATGGGACTGTGGCTGCAGGTCTCTGAGCTGTACGGTGTTTATATATAAAGTAGGACTAAGGACATCCCAGAATCCACTCTAGTGTGAGAACTGGGTGGGATGACAGCAGAAGGACACTTAGGGCTTGGCACGGAAGGCGTCTCAACAAATGGCAGCTGAGCTTTATGGTTCCCTTGAGAACTGGTACTTGGGTCTAAAGAGAGTGACGTCAGGGGCGAAGTTCCCAGGTGGGCCAGCTACTAAGCAGAATCGTCCCTTACTCTTTCAGAAATGTCTGTGACAGGCCTCCGTGGGGAGATGAGACGGTGGGGTGAGTGAGCCCCTCCACCGCTACTCGAGAAGGCGCTCCAATCTCAGGCTGTACCAAGAGCCACCCAGTGACATAATCGATTCCAAAGTGTGACACCCATTTGGGATACTCAGCAATGTCTGTGAAGTGCAGGGACCCCTGGGGTACATCAGCATGGCCCGCTCTGCAGAGCGCCTGCTTCACCTGAGATTCTCCTGACCTTAGGGATTTCCTTGCTTCCTCCTCATCTTTAAATGTGTGTCTGGAACTGCGAAAGCCCAGTTTCTAGTCACCCAACACCTAACATTTCTTCTGTGCCCACCCCTCCTTAACCATCACCACCCCGGGCCAATATTTGAAGAGTTTTTGAAATATTCCTGAACAGGGGTTCAAGGATCACTATGTTCCCACCAGCTGAAAATGCTGATTTCTGAGGATTGGGAATCAGTGCACTAACTCGTCACTGGTAGCTCAAAAGGAAAGTGTCGCCACCAGGTACACAGAGGATGCTCCACTTGCTGCTGCAGAGTCTACTCTTTGACCACAGGGACTCCATGTGGACCTCCACATCCCCAGTGGCGATGCTCCTCCTTGGAGCTCTCCTCGGACAGCTTGGTCATGAGCCGGGCTGGACGGTGTGAATCATAATCCTGCCCAGGGTCCTCTCAGACCTCTCCCCGACATCACGTCTGCGTCTCCATGGGCTAGGGGTAGAGTGTCAGGGCACTAATTTCCTATGTCAGCTGGGCGGCTTAAAACAAACAACAGAGCCGTGTTGTCTCACAGTTCTGGAGGCTGCAGGTCCCAAATGCAGGTGTCAGCTGGATCATGCTCTCTCAGAAGACTCTAGGGGAGGAGACTTCCCTGCCTCTTCCTAGCTGCAGGTGGGTGCTGGCCATCCTTGCTGTCCCTTGGCTTAGAGATATGTCGCTCTAGTCCCTGCTTCTGTCTTCACGTGACCTTCTCCTTGGCTGTCTATCTGAATTTCCCTCTTTTCCTAAGGACATCAGTCATTGGATTAGGGCACATACTCGTCTAATATGGTCTCATCTTAATGAGATTACATCTCATTACACCTATTTCCAAATAAGGTCACACTGGCAGGTGCCTGGAGTTAAGACTTTGACCCATCATCTTGGGACCTTTTCAACCCTCCACAGTGTCCTCCTGATAACTATCCTCCAATGCTCTGCTTCCAGCCTTACAGAAATGCCAAGGAAGAGTGAGAGCCAGGTTTCCACGGCCCCCTTGGCCATCTCAGGCAGACAAAAGGAAAAGCTAGCTCTTTGGGCTATTCACATAAAAGCACAAGGAAAGAAACTTTCTAGAAACAGAATTTTCAGGACAGGGTCCCTTGTGGAAACTTCCTACACTCCTACATTGACCCTCTTGTTTCCAGCCCTCCGCTGCAGAGCTCCCTTTCAGATCTCTAAGTTCAGTAACCCAACCCTTGCTCTCAGAAATTTCTACCTTTTCCCCAAAGTGGATGATTAATTTTTGGATCCTCTTCGGCATCTTGAAACAGGCCAATGTATTCCTCCTCAAGCTCTTCCATCAGATGCTCAGTGACACGTCTCTGTTCAGTTCACATGCAGGCAGGGAGGGAGGCCTGGACTTGGTTCCAGAGCAAAGGGGAAAGGCCGATGTCTCCCCAGCCCATTTCTGTCTCCTCCTCAACTGAGAGCACGGCCAGTTCTCTCATCAGCTCACCTTATTTCTCCATGACCACGACCTTCACCCTTTGCATTTCAAAGCAATGCACTCACCAATGCCACAAAACATTTGTTTCTTTCTGCCTGTGCCAAGCCTATCTCCTGTGTAAAAGAAATGACACAATGGTTGTCATAGTTATGCCGTTTGCTTCCTGTGTGGAATAGCACCAGTTTTGATGCTATATTATATTATTCCTAATTACTTATATTATATTGTAGTTATCTCTCTGATGGTGGGTGGTGGAGGAGGTTTGTCGATTCATTGCCTTACAGTGCTTTTTAAAATAAATCCCTCAGAATGAAGTCCATTTTCTTATCTCTTTTTTACTTTTAAAAAGATTTTTTAATGCTCATCAAGTCAAAAAAAATATTGAAAGACTTGTAGTCTGCCATATAGCGATGTTGGGAAAGAATCCAGAAGAAATGGAGGCCACGGAAATATTTCAGGAGCCAGGGCTTGACCATGAATCCCTTCCGTCCCATTCCCACTGCTGCCATCTGGGGTGAGGCCGTCTGAGTTCATGCCAGGACTGTTCTGAGAACTTTGCCCTTGTCCTCTCGCCTCCAGCCTCTTTCCCCTGCAGTTTGTGCTGTTCAGGTATCTCAGCGATCATGTGACATGCCAGCTCAAGGTTTCCTAATGGCTCCTCACGGATGGCAGGAAAAATTCCATCTTCCTCATCCAGACATTCGAAGAGCCTTACTCTCAGATGCCTCCTCACTTTCAAAGACTGCACCGCCGTCAAGTGGGTTTCCTCATCATCTCATTGTCCTGTGACAGTGTTGAAGGACCTTCATTTTGTGCTTAGGGCCATGGATCTCTCTGCACCCCCCTGCCCCTCCCACAGGAACCATTTTCTTCCTCCTTGATGTCTGTCCAAATCCCATGCACGTCCTCAGTCTGCTGCAGCTGGAAGCTCAGTCCCAACTTAGACTTGCACGTGGCTATCTGTCTTGATGAACGCTCATTTTTTGCTCCATTTCCCTTTGCCCATAAACGGATGGAGATTAATAAGCTACCCCCAGGCCAGATGGTGCCCTTGTTCCCACATTTTCCTTGACTTTTCACTGGAATTTCCACTGTCCTTAAGCTGCTCTGCTCTGGCTACTTCTTAGTCCCCTATCTTTACAAACCCAGAAAGGACTTGATATCACTGAGCTATTGTTGTCTTTGCTATAATGTGTGCCCACGAGCATTTTTATAGAGTGTTATAATTTTGTCCCCCACATTGTGACCTGTCTTCCAGACAAACTTCGGAGCAGGTAAGGAGAGAGGGTTCTGATGTTTACTGCAGATCTACCATGTGCCTTGCATGGACACATTTGCACACATTTAAATTTATCTCCAAGCTCCTTAGGAAGTGCTTTGATCCACATTTTCAAATGAGAGAATTGAAGCTCAGAGAGGGTTAATGATTTTCCCTGGGAGAGTTTAGTGCCAGTTATGGTGCCAAAGAGGAAAAAAAAAAAACTGCTGTGGGCTGAAGCTTGTTAGGACAGGCTTCGCAGCTGTGGTGGGATCCTCGCCAGGCCCTGGCCTGGTGGGCAGGAGGAGAGAGCACCGTGAGTGTGAGCAGCATCACAAGGATTTCAGATGCAACGCAACAATGTGATCATTTATGGCTTTCAGAGATTGTACCTGATTTCCTTAAAGAATGCGCTATTAAAGTTAATTGCCTGGTTTTGAGCATGCACACACTGCAATGTGCTAGAACGGCCAAAGTTCAGGGGTAAGTGAACTTTACTGCAGCATGTGAAGAATAAGTGCTGACAAAGAAGCAGAGACTTTGTTATGTTAACTGTAGGTCAAAAGAGGACTCTTAACACAAGGTAGCTGAAACTGGGCAAACACACAATCCCAGATGGTTTCATACAGCATAAAAATGAATGAGTCAATGTGGGTTCATCTATGGTAACAAATGTGCCACTCTGTATGTGTGTGTGTGTGGGGGGGATATGTGGGAACTCTCTGTACTTTCTGCTCATTTTTTCTGTGAACCTAACACTTCTCTAAAAAATAAAGTATATTTAAAATGAAATAAAATTTTAAAAGTTCTTAATGGACAAGTCCGGGTCCCAAAGCTGCCCACTGTGGCATGAGGGGAGAGGAGCGTGTTGCTGCACAGACACCTTGCTCAGCTATGTGAACTTCATTGTCTTTTACTTTTCCAGTTCATGCACTGATGAAATGACTATGAGCATTGAAGGCCTCAAAAATGCAAGATGTGAAATACGAAAAAGGGAGGAAGAGGAAAATGAAGAGAAGGAACTGAAGCATAGCTGATTTCCTGCATATTGAGAAATAAAAAGCTGGCTGCAAGTACAGGTGGCAAAAGCATAAGGATTAAGTGTCCAGGAAGAGGAGCTTTACAGAACATTTAATATATAACAACCTTGGGAAGTTACTTACCTCTCTAATTTTCTCTTATCTCTTCTCTAAAACAAGATAACAATACCTCCTCCATATGGCTATAGGACAGATTAAATGACGTAAAGTATATAAAATGCTTAGACCAAGAGCCTACATTTATTTATTAAAAATATTTATTGAGTACCTCATCTGGGCTAAATATCAAGGATTCAATGGTGAGCAAAACAGATATGACCTGAGTTTACAATGTAAGAGGGAAATGAATGTCAAACAAAGAAACATAAAAATAATTAATTATAAATTGAGGAGAGTTCTGTAAAGAAAAAAACTCAGAGTACTTAGAGAAAATCAAGAGCCTCTGAGGAAACAATCAATAAATAGTAGATATTTAAAGATATACCTTTATTTTTACAGTCATAACAGACTAGTTTCTATCAGACAGACCCTTTCACAAAGAACAATCGGGGAAAAAAATGGATAATATATTTAAAATAAATCTATTTGAAGGAATATAGAGCTGCCAAGGCAGGGGTTAGGGCATTAATAGACAGGGCATTAATAGGCAGGGCATTAATAGACAAAATTCCAGAGGGAGGATAAATACAACAAGCTAAGATCAAAATGCAGCTCTGCTTTCTCCTTGAAGTATTTTCCAGCTCATAAGAGCTGAAGATGGTTTTAGCAACTCATGGACAAAATTGGAGTTCATGGTCCAATAAGGAGGAGGGGCACTGAGAAAAACCCTAGACTTTCAGCTGGGACCACTAAAAGGCAATGCTTTAAGCATAAAGGCAAATTAGGTATAGACTAGCTCTCACAAAAACTAACAGTGGCCTACGCTTGGTTGCATTAACGTGACTTGCCTAGTTTAACTGCCTAACAGAGCCTTAAACAATCTCTATAATATTTCATGGAATAGGGTCTGGCATTCAATTAAAAATATTCTAGCAAACTGGGAGACAAGCCAAATGACCAAACTCATCTG